TTCCCTCCTGCCTCAACCTAATCCTCCCTCTGCCTCAACTTGCCCCTCTGACATACATGTCTTGCTTACTGGGGCTGAGATAAAGGCCAAGGTTTCTCCACTCCAAAGACCATTTCCCCAAAGGCAGCTCTAGAGAGAAATTCAGGGGCTGTAAGCCACCTGTGGGCAGAGAATTCCCATTTACTTTCCAGTGTGAAGCCAGAGGTCAGCAGAGTACACCGATGTGTGCAAGATCACCAGTGTACACAGGGCAGAGCGGGACTTAGGACCCCAGAGTCTCAGTTCCTGGGGCAGGGTGAGCCAGGGCTGGCAATGCACTTACGTGCCACTCTGCACCCGCACAGATGACACCTTCTCCTGGTAGCCATGGGCGTGGAAGCTGGGTACGTCGTCATCTATGATTTCCATCTTCTTCCCGGTGAAGTTGGGGTTTTCGTAGAGGATAATCTTGTGTTCTTGGCTGTCCTATTGGCAAAGGATGTGAGGAAGTGAGTATAGGTGATGGGGCCCAGGGTTGGCCTTCCCACCCCATGCTCATGCCCCAGAGTTGGGATCCGCATGTCCCACACATCACTCTCTGCCCAGTGCACCTACCACGTGTCTATGACAACTGCTGTTGGATCGCAGCCATTTGTTAAGTTTCTACTGGGCCATTTTCATGTAACAGACACTCTGCAACACTTTGGGGAATATTTGATTCTGAAATGTCATTTTTTCCTCCTATGCCTCAAGTTTCTCTTTTATAAATGGCAGCTACGATCTACCACCCACTCACAAGTGCACACCCACACATGCACACACACAGGCACACACACAGGCACACACACACAGGCGCCGGCACACACACATGCACACAGAAGAGGCACCACACAGGCCTTTACACACAGGCCTACACACAGGCATACACACACAGGCACCTTACACACACACATGCACACACACATGCCAACACACACAGGCACACACACATGCACACACACAGGCACACACACACACAGGCACCTCACATATGCGCACACACGTGCACCCACCTGGTAGCACACATACAGGCACACACAAACACACATACACACACACACAGACATTACTACACACATGCACAGGCTAATTTATTGCCTCTAATAAACACCTGAGATATTTTGATTTTTCTTCATTTCTCACATCTCTTTCCCATCCTCTGTATTCTCTTTTGTTTCCTTGATTACTCTAATCCTTTAAACATTTTCAATGGTTCAGATAAAAGGTTTCAGATAAGAAAACCCATATCCATAGACATAAAAAAATCCTTTCCATGCCATTTTGGCAGATGAGAAAAATAGAGGCTGGAGAGAGGTCAAATGACGTCTGTGAGCTGCAGAACGCTTTGGCCAACATGGGAACCTGGGTCTGTGGGTGTCTGAAGTCAGTGTTCTCCAGCCTTCAGTAGGTCTACAGCAGAGAGAGGAAGGAGAGAGGAAGGGAGGAGAGGAGGGAGGAGCTGAATGGGCTTGGAGGTTGGGTCTTCAGGCGGTGATAGGCCCTGTCCCCTCCCGACAGTTCACACTTACACTAGTAAATCAGGATCTCAGGCCTTTTCAAAAAACTCACACTGGCACGAGTCTTGAAGAAGCTAAACTACCTTCTCCTCCAGTCCTGAACTCAGGAATTCTTGTATTTCTGATGCTTCCACGGTTATTGAGCAATGCTCTCTTCAGCGGCAGTTGCCCAACCCTGCAGGGTGGGGGCACCAACCACGTAAAATAGAATGTGAATAGTGCCCTCTGGAGCATTTCGTAATCATGATGGAGCCCCTGGAGTTGCGCAGCGTGACAACCCTCAAGCTAATAAGCACATTGGAATCTCAGGACAGTAGATACCAATCGCCCATTTGATTGAGAAACTGAGGCTCAGGGAAGTAAAATGACTTTTGCAAGGTTTCCCTCCTGCCTCAACCTAATCCTCCCTCTGCCTCAACTTGCCCCTCTGACATACATGTCTTGCTCACTGGGGCTGAGATAAAGGCCAAGGTTTCTCCACTCCAAAGGCCATTTCCCCAAAGGCAGCTCTAGAGAGAAATTCAGGGGCTGTAAGCCACCTGTGGGCAGAGAATTCCCATTTACTTTCCAGTGGGAAGCCAGAGGTCAGCAGAGTACACCGATGTGTGCAAGATCACCAGTGTATACAGGGCAGAGTGGGACTTAGGACCCCGGAGTCTCAGTTCCTGGGGCAGGGTGAGCCAGGGCTGGCAATGCGCTTACGTGCCACTCTGCACCCGCACAGATGACACCTTCTCCTGGTAGCCGTGGGCATGGAAGCTGGGTACGTCGTCATCTATGATTTCCATCTTCTTCCCGGTGAAGTTGGGGTTTTCATAGAGGATGATCTTGTGCTCTTGGCTGTCCTATTGGCAGAGGATGTGGGGAAGTGAGTATGGGTGACGGGGCCCAGGGTTGGCCTTCGCAACCCATGCTCATGCCCCAGAGTTGGGATCCGCATGTCCCACACATCACTCTCTGCCCAGTGCACCTACCACGTGTCTATGACAACTGCTGTTGGATTTCAGCCATTTGTTAAGTTTCTACTGGGCCATTTTCATGTAACAGACACTCTGCAACACTTTGGGGAATATTTGATTCTGAAATGTCATTTTTTCCTCCAATGCCTCAAGTTTCTCTTTTATAAATGGCAGCTACGATCTACCACCCACTCACAAGTGCACACCCACACATGCACACACAGGCACACACACACAGGCATACACACACAGGCACACACATGCACACACACATGAAGAGGCACCACACAGGCCTTTACACACAGGCCTACACACAGGCATACACACACAGGCACCTTACACACACACATGCACACACACATGCCAACACACACAGGCACACACACATGCACACACACAGGCACACACACACACAGGCACCTCACATATGCGCACACACGTGCACCCACCTGGTAGCACACATACAGGCACACACAAACACACATACACACACACACAGACATTACTACACACATGCACAGGCTAATTTATTGCCTCTAATAAACACCTGAGATATTTTGATTTTTCTTCATTTCTCACATCTCTTTCCCATCCTCTGTATTCTCTTTTGTTTCCTTGATTACTCTAATCCTTTAAACATTTTCAATGGTTCAGATAAAAGGTTTCAGATAAGAAAACCCATATCCATAGACATAAAAAAATCCTTTCCATGCCATTTTGGCAGATGAGAAAAATAGAGGCTGGAGAGAGGTCAAATGACGTCTGTGAGCTGCAGAACGCTTTGGCCAACATGGGAACCTGGGTCTGTGGGTGTCTGAAGTCAGTGTTCTCCAGCCTTCAGTAGGTCTACAGCAGAGAGAGGAAGGAGAGAGGAAGGGAGGAGAGGAGGGAGGAGCTGAATGGGCTTGGAGGTTGGGTCTTCAGGCGGTGATAGGCCCTGTCCCCTCCCGACAGTTCACACTTACACTAGTAAATCAGGATCTCAGGCCTTTTCAAAAAACTCACACTGGCACGAGTCTTGAAGAAGCTAAACTACCTTCTCCTCCAGTCCTGAACTCAGGAATTCTTGTATTTCTGATGCTTCCACGGTTATTGAGCAATGCTCTCTTCAGCGGCAGTTGCCCAACCCTGCAGGGTGGGGGCACCAACCACGTAAAATAGAATGTGAATAGTGCCCTCTGGAGCATTTCGTAATCATGATGGAGCCCCTGGAGTTGCGCAGCGTGACAACCCTCAAGCTAATAAGCACATTGGAATCTCAGGACAGTAGATACCAATCGCCCATTTGATTGAGAAACTGAGGCTCAGGGAAGTAAAATGACTTTTGCAAGGTCACAGGCATACACACACAGGCACACACATGCACACACACATGCACACACACATGCACACACACAGGCACACACATGCACACACACAGGCACACACACACAGGCACACTCACATATGCGCGCACACACGTGCACACCCACACAGGCGCACACACACAGGCACACACACAGGCACACACATACACACACACACACAGGCGGGCACACACACACATGCACAGGCTAATTGTGCCTCTAATAGGCACCTGAGATATTTTGATTTTTCTTCATTTCTACATCTCTTCCCATCCTCCTGTTCCTATAACATTTTCCTTAGTTATCTAATCCTTTAAACATTTTCAGTTTAAGATAAGGTTTTCAGATAAGAAAACCCTTATCCCTTAGACATAAAATCCTTTCATGCCATTTGGCAGATGAGAAAAATGAGGCACAGAGAGGTCAAATGACGTCACAGAGCTGGGAGCAGCACAGCCAACATGGGAACCTGGGTCTGTGGGGTGTGAAGTCCAGTGTTCTCCAACCTTCCAGTAGGTCCTGGGAAGAGCTAGACTGGGCTTGGAGGGTTTGGGAGTGTAACTGAGCAGTGATGGGCCCTGTCCCCTCCCCGACAGTTCACACTTACACTAGTAAGAATCAGGATCTCAGACGCACTGAAAACTCACACTGGCACGAGTCTTGAAGAAGAGCTAAACCACCTTCTCCTCCAGTCCTGAACTCAGAATTTCTTGTATTTCTGATGGCTACCGGTTATTGAGCAATGACTCTGTGACGGCAGTTGCCCAACCCTGCGGGGTGGGGGGCACCAACCACGTAAAATAGAATGTGAATAGTGCCCTCTGGAGCATTTCGTAATCTTGTAATTGGAGCCCCCTGGAGTTGCGCAGCGTGACAACCCTCAAGCTAATAAGCACATTGGAATCTCAGGACAGTAGATACCAATACGCCCATTTTACAGTTGAAGAAACTGAGGCTCAGGGAAGTAAAATGACTTTTGCAAGGTCACCCAGTGAGGAGGTTCCTCACCAATCAGAAGGGGCACAATGCTAGAGGGGCAGGCTCCTTCCTGGTCTCAGGACCTCCGGCTCCAAGGTGGCAGAGACAGAAAGTAGGATGATGGGCAGAGAGAAGAAATAGAATGATGGCAGGGGGCTCACCACTTTGATGGGCCTCAGGGAGCTGAGGTAGTCCATCCTCCGGCTGCTGGTCCATGAGTCCCAGCGGGGGTACTCGCCCTTCTCAAACACAAACTGCTCACCCTTGCAGTTGGTCTGTTCATAGCCCACCCAGCTGCCATGGAGACAGAGAGAAACGGGGCAGGTCAGTTCCACTCCAAGCTTCCTATGGCAGGATCCTGGCTACTCACGTTGGCCCCTGGGGTTCACTCTTGCCCAACTCGGCAAGATGTAGTAGCCCCACCCGAACCTTAGCACGGCAAATCCAAGCGCACAGTCCCCCCAGTTATCCAGAACTCAGTGCTATGCTGCTTTTAACCACCTGGAACACAGTTAAGAAATAAGAAGGCGGTCTAAATAACGGCCCGCAACAAATACCAACATATAGATGCCATGCACTAAAGCCAATAGTATGCTGGTAAGTTAACAGCCAACTCTCAAAAAACAAAACAAAAATTAACACTCTTGATTTGCAGCGTTTGCCAATTTCCATGGTGTAAATGCTCCCACTGTGGCAGATTTCAAGCTATGACACGGCTGCAAGTGGAGCTGGGGAGAGAGATGCACAGTCAGCCTTCACCACTGAGAACTGACCCCAGAAGCCCTCGGTTGGGCCCAAACCCCTCTCTTTGGATCTGTTTCTTCTCTTGTCCCTGTTGTTAGACTCTGCCCAAACTCTTTTTGTAGATCCACATTAGAAGAAAAATAGTACATTAAAGAGGGAGGGATGGCCTTCAGTTCGGGCATGGCTAATGGAGGAAGGCAAAAAATAGGAGGAAAAAAACACAAATCTCAAAATGATTAGCATTCTGGGGCCAGCCAGTGCAGAGGCAAACATTTCAGCATGTGTGATAATGGCTGTTCAGAGGAATAATCTAAGTTATTAATGAAAGAGGAGATCATATTTATTATCCTCTTTTGGAAGAGTAGTCTTGATCCAGCAATTCTACTTTAGGCAATGGGTCCTTAGAAAACAGTTGTCAAGGGGCCAGGTGCCATGGTTCACGCCTGTAATCCCAGCACTTTGGGAGGCCGAGGCGGGCGGATCACCTGAGGTCAGGAGCTCGAGACCAGCCTGGCCAACATGGTGAAACTCTGTCTCTACTAAAAATACAAAAAATTAGCTAGGCACAGTGGTGCATGCTTGTAATCCTAGTTACTCAGTAGTCTGAGGCAGGAGAACTGCTTGAACCAGGGAGGCAGAAGTTGCAGTGACTTGAAATCATGCCATTGAATTCCAGCCTGGGTGACAAGAGCTACAACTCCATCTCAACAAAACAAAACAAACAAAAAAACAGTTGTCAAGGGATCACAGATATCTGAATAAGGATGTTCATTGTGGCATTGTTTATAATATCCAGTAACTGAAAAACTTAAACATCCTACAATCAGGGCCTGGGTATGGCATATTCAATCATGGACTGTTACAAAGCCATGGTAAGTAAGGGCATAGGATGTGGGTTATCAAATGTAACTGGTGTAACTATCACCAGGTAAGCTTGTTAAATGCAGATTCCAGGCTCTAGAGCTAAGTTTGATTTAGTGGGACTGACGTGGGGCCCGAGAACCTCCATTTTAAAGCATCTCCCTTCTGGGAATCTGATGTGAATTTTTCTCAAACGACTTTGAAAAGCACCAACATAAAATGCTATTTAATGACATGGAGAGAGTTCATGCTACCTTGTAAAATTTCCAAAGTGAGTAATAAAACATCATGTTTAGTATGATCCAAGTTTGATTTGATTATACACACACACACACACACACACACAAAAAGAGAGAGAGAGAGAGAGAGAGAGAGAAACAGAGAGAGAGAAACAGAGAGAGAGAGAGAAGGAAATCTAAATTCATACCAAAATCTTAATAATGGTTACTTCTGAGTAGTGAACAGAAGTCATACGGTTTTTTGCCTTAAACCATATCTTCTTAGTTTTAAACAATAAATGATAGTTAATAAAAATATTAAATGTTATATTTTTAAAAAAAGAAAGCAGAAGAGTGTAAAATCTCTTTGGGAAAGTTGTTTTCATCAAAATATTTGAAAAGGCAGCTGAAAATCAGAAGTGATGCTTAAACAGTCAAATCTCAGTTATCCAGAAAGGGATTCTCTTGGACGCAACAGATTCCCTGAGCATGTCAGATGACCAAGGCTTGGCATAGCCACTGCTTTAGCTGTGTTCTGCACATCTTCAGGTTCTGACCCATGTAGGGCGGTGGAACTCTGCAGAATTCCCTGAGAACCTTGAGGTGTGGTATGGCTCACCTTAGGATCTCCAGCAGTATCTGACTTACTGGCCACCAGTGGACATTTCTACATCCTGAGGCTTTGACAGAGGAGTGACGAGAGAAGCTGTGGTTTGTGTCCCAGACACTCTGCAGGCTCACATAAGACTATGCTCAGCTACATGACATAAGGTGAGTTAACCATTCAGCTCCCCTTCTCTCTTGGATACAGACCTGGCCCCCAAGTGTGCCAAAAAATCTGTAAAGACCCAGTATTGTCAGGATTTGGGAAGGGAGGAGTGGATGCAGAGCTGGGGCATCCAGCCTTAAACCTCTCAGGATTGAGGACACTCCTGGAGCCAGAGACTGGCAGTTCTAAAAGCTTCATGAGTCACTATGTCCATCTTCCTGCCTTGACCTCTGTATCAGGCTTTCTACATGACGCTTTCCCTTCATCCCCAGAGCACATGGTCATCCTTATCCTACAGAGGAGGAAACTGAGGCTCAGAGGGGGAAGGTCCTGGTCCAACACCACACAGCCCAGAAGTGGTGGAGCCTGGATTTGAACCCAGCTGTATCTGACTGCAAAGCATGAATTATCTCCATACACTGCCAGTCCCCAAAACTTGGTCCCCAGATTGCAGACAGGAGAATAGCACGGGTAGATTCCCCCAGTCCACAACCTGATCACCTCACCCAAAGTCTGTGACCAGGAAAGGCCACCCAGGTACTTACAGTCCAGCCTGCACTAGGACAGAGCCTGCCTTCTCCACGCCAGTCTCCTTCAGGTTGGGGCAGGGCCCATTGAGCTCATGCGAGTGGCCTTGAAAGTTTTCCTGCTCAAAGATGATGATCTGCAACGGGAAGCGAGACTCAGACCCTCATCATGATGAAGAGGAGTGACAGTTGGCTGATAGACGTGGGGAGGGAGCTCAGAGAACCCAAAGGATGCTGAAGGGTTCACCTCCAGAGTGACAAATCAAACATAAAAATCAAACAGCCCTGGCTCTGGCTATAAGCAGCTGTGGGACCTTGAGCCTGCATTTGTCCTCTCTAAGCATCAGTCTCCCCATCTGTAAAATGGGAAATAAAGACAGAACCCAGGCCAGGTGTGGTGGCTCACACCTGTAGTCCCAGCATATTGGGAGGCTGAGGTGGGAGGATTGCTTGAGCCCAGGAATTCCAGACCAGCCTGGGCAAGATGGGAAGACCCCACTTCTAATTTTTTTAAAAAGAAAAAGAAACAAAGACAGAAACTGCCTTGTGATATTGTTTGTTAGAAGGATTCAGGGGAGCATAATTTGCACACCGTATTTGCTCTGCTTGTGGGAGACATAATTATGTTAATTAAGAGATGTGGTACAGATTCTAATAAGTGGCAGAGCTGAAATTGGAGCTTAGGCTTGTCTGATGCAGCTGTAATGGAAGCAACACTTTGCGAACCCTAACAGGTGCATGTAGCACCTGGGATCTGGATAAGTGCAGTTTCTGAGGGAACAGGTCTGGGGTGCAGCCCCAGATTCTGCATTTCCAGTCATCTCCCAGGTGATGCTGGTGCCAGTGGCTTATGGACCAAATTAGGAGTACTGACGTGCTAGACCACGCGTTTGAGCTTCTCCTCCTCCCATTAGAGCTGCACCAGTACCTTCATATACACTCCTTACCTCCATTTCACCCATAAAACTACACACACCTGGGCCCTTTCTCCAAGCCTCCACAGAATTCCCAGGTGTCCCTATGAGCTCCCCCTTGAAATACTTCTTAAGAGGACTTCACTCCCCTTGTCTCACCTGGTATTATCAGCCCAAGGGAGGGGGCTCACGAGATCCCCATCAGGGAAACTGAAACTCTGCAAAGTGAAGAGACCCATCCAACATCTCCCACATCCAAATTAACTATGAGGCTAGCTGCCACCTTCCATGGTTCCAGTGAGAATTTTGGAGGCAGAGCTTTTTCAGCCACATTTCCCCAGCAAACTGCCCCTGGATGAAAAGATGGGCTCAGGTCAGCACACTCCCAGCGGGGGAAGCAACAGAATCGACATGGTCAGCACAGGCTGGATAAACATAGCCCTGACTCCCAGGCCTGGGATTAGCCACACAAAGAAAGGAAAAGGGGTGCCCCACAGGGCTTAGAGGTGAATTCCATGGGCTCAATCCAGCCTTTACAATCAGTGACCCAGCCCTTTACGGTCATTGACTCGGCCAGAGATAGGGTCAGAAGACAAGGGCTCCATTGTGTCCTCTGTTACATCCAGTTGTGCAAACCTAAAAAGTAATTCAATACTCTGGGCCTCAGTTCTCTCATCTGTAAAATGTGGAATCAAGAATATGGAAGTTCGGGCTAGTTTATTATTACCCCGGCCTGGGAGACAAGGGCTTGTGGGCGGTTACCACATAGTATTTGTGCTGCTTGTGGGAGACATAATTACGTTAATTAAAACACATGCTACAGATCCCGCGTGAATAAGTGGAAGAGCTGAAACTGAAGCCCAGGTTTGTCTGATGCAGCTGAAATTGAAGCAGCACTTTGCGGACTCTAACCTGTGCACGTAACACTGGGATCTTGATCAAATGCAGTTTCTGAGGGAGCAGGCCTGGGGTGTCCACCTGAATAGGGTTAGGCAGGTGAGGAAGGGTAGTTTCTCCATGCATTTGAAAGCCCAGAAGCTCAGAGGACCCAGGAGCTCACTAGCATTGTTATTATTAATCGACAGAGTGGAGGGCAACATTTTACAAATTGTCTAATCCTCTAAAACTGCACTGTCCCACACAGCAGCCATTAGTAACATATGGCTACTGAGCACGCATAATTAGTCCATACTATTACTTATACTGTGCTCTAAGTGTAAAATACACATCATATGTTGAAAATTTAGAATGGAAAAAATAATGTAAAATATCTGCCTAATAATTCTTATATTGATTATACATTAACATGCTCATCTTTTGGATATATTGGGTTTCATAAAATATAATATGAAAATTAATTTCACCTGTTTCTTTTTACTTTTAATGATGTGGCTACTAGAAAATTTTGCATTACCTATATGGTTCACATCATAGGTCTAGTGGACAGTGCTTCTTGCTTTTTTCCAAACTCACCCAGCTCATTCCCACCTTGGAGTCTTTGTGCCTGATGTTCCTTTTGTCTGGATGCTGTCATCAACCCTCACCCCCATTTTTAATTTTTCTGTGGAGATGGAATCTCACTATGTTGCCCAGGCTGGCCTCAAACTTTTTGGCTCAAGCAGTCCTCCCATCTCGGCCTCGCAAAGGCGCCCCCAATTTTTACATAGCCGCTTCCTCACTTGACCCAGGTGTGTGCTCAAAGTCACTTCCTCAGAGAGGCCCTCCTGGAACACCTGAGCTAACACAACCATTGCAACTCTCAGGAGCCCCTTCCCCTAGTTTACATTTATTTGTAGCACTTCTCACTACTGAAAATCATATATTCATTTATTTATTGTCTGTCCTTCTTCTGGAAAGTAAGCCCATAAGGGACAGATCGGGGTGAGCAGGTGAAGGGCTGCATCTGCTCAGGCTTCCTTGGCCTAGGAGGTACCGAGTCAGACCAAGGGGCCATTCCTGAAGGAACCTGTGCCTGGGGTTACCAAAGCAGAGAGGCACAGGAGGGCAGCCAGGTGGGTGCTCCTCGATAGAGGTTTGAGGGCAGACTCGGTGTGACAAGCCTCTGACATTGTGATAAGATCCTGCTGCCCTTGGGCGGGCAGGTGGACGGGAAATCAAAGAAGGGATTTTTTGGTGGTGTTAGGTGGATGCGCACCCCGGGCCGGGTGTTAGGTTGAGCCTGGTTTCTTTGGCTCTCACAACTTCCCTATGCAATAAATCTGACTCCTCCTTTTACAAAAATGGAACAGAGGCTCAGAGGGATCAAATAATTGGCCCGGGTCACACAGCAGGTGCAGAGCCAGGACTCACACCCACCTTCCAACTACTAATCCCACCTCTGACTGAGAATGAGGGTCTACTCCAGTTTCAGGGAGCCCTGTGGACAATAGGGTGTGGGAAAACAGGTAAGGGAGAGAAACTGAAGTCTCCAAAGCCGGAGGCTGGTACTGGGAATCCCAGCATGCCAGCTATGGGCTGGAGAGGGACTCTCAGAATCAGCCCCAAGTGTGTGGGTAGGGGAGACTAAGTCCGAGAGAGGGGCAGGGTGGAGAGGGGGTACCTGTGAAGAAAGATGCCAAGCCCATTTTACAGAGGGGCAACTAAGTCTGGGAGAGGAGCATTGCATGCCCCCTCCTCCGAGAGGTACCCACCTTGGGGTTGAGGGACTGTGGCTTGCCCGCCTGGGTCTGGTGGTCTGAGGCCATGGTGGACTGTCCCGTGCAGGAATGACCTGGAAGACATGGGAAGCAGCAGTGAAGACCTGGAGGGGCCACTGACTTTTTCATTCTGTGGGGACTTGGGACCACTCCTCTCTGGCCCCAAATATTCTTCTTTTCCCCCTGGTTTCAGGTTGTCCCAGAGCTGTGGGCTCCGTAAGCAGCTACTTGAACTTCTGTCTTTAGCTTCATTTATATCTATCCAGGTCAGCGCCAGGAGGAGGGAAAAATGAAGTCTACTCAAAAAAAGAGTGGGGCAGTGATAAACTGAGCTTAAATGAGGTCCCAAGTGGGTCCCCAACACTCAACCCCAGACAATGGATACTATGCAGAATATAGAACAGTCAATCCCAGAACTTCTGCCTTTATGCAGAAATTTCCTAAACAAAATTGTGTGGAACAAACAAAGCCTATGCATTGTCTGTATTTTGTGGTATGGTGGTGCCCAGTTTAGGAACCCACGAAGTTCCCTGTCCCCCTGCTCTTTCTCCCACCCTCTCTCTGGGACTCCTCTCCCCATCCCGGTATCAAATTTACCCTAGATTTCTCTTCTCTGCTACTGGTTCACGCCCCATTAGTGAAATCATCTGATGCAGAACCATGTTACAAGAAAGGGAGATGGGTGCAATGGTGAAGCTTCCACAGGCACTGGCCGAGGCGCGGTGGCTCAAGCCTGTAATCCCCACCGCAGCACTTTGGGAGGCAGACGGGCGGATCACACGAGGTCAGAGATCGGGAGTGTCCTGGCGAACGCAGGCGAGCCGTCTTTCTCTACACTAAAAAAATGCCCTACTTGCTTGGCGGCGGGAGTGGCGGGCGCCGCCAATCCCGCTTCTTTCAGCGGGAGGCTGAGGCAGGAGAATGGCGTAAACCCGGGAGGCGGAGGCTTGCAGTGAGCTGAGATCGGCACTGCACTCCATCCAGCCTGGGAGACAGCGAGACTCCGTCTCAAAAAAAAAAAAAAAAAAAAAAAAAAAAACCGGAGCATTGTGGCGACAGCAGGATAGACTTGCCTTAGCTATTGAGAACATCCAGAAAGTCTGGAAAATTTTGTCGGCACCTCTTCCCTTCTCTCACTGCGGGAGGAATTTGGTCAAAACAGGCTGTGTCTCCTCAGGGTAAGAGGAAGCCTGATGGCTTCCTCTTCCAGGGATAACGCCCAAAGCCCCTTCCACACGAAGGCCAAGACTGGTGTTTCCCAGGAGGAAGAAATTCAGAGTTAAGCACCTTGAGACCAGGCCTGCCAGCCATAGAAACACCTGCACCAGGTGAGACTCTGTGGGTGGAGTCACATCCTCTCCCCTATGCCTCAACCCCTGTTTCTCCATAAGTGAGGCAGAAGTAATGGGTGTCTCGGCTTGTACCTGTGAACAGGTTTGTGAGGATCACAGGCTGTAAATCTGTGCAAAACCAGGCTTTGTGGCCGTGAGGTTACAGAACACACTCAGCATGCAGCAAATGGCATGAATTGTGTGACGTTAATAAGAATTCATTTCTACCATGCTTTAGTAACCCAAATAACTGTTGCGGAGACTTACAACTCTCACATACCTATGGCTGCATCCTCCACTAGCACTCTCTCAGGGCTGGGCACAGGTGAGGCTGGCCAGGTGCAGATGTGGAGCGGCTCCACTCACTGGCTCTGCAGCTGGAGCTCACTGTGGTTTTGATTCTTGTACTCAGGATTACATTCTCTGCTCCTCGCGCGACTGAAAGCGGAAAACAGGATCACAATCTGGTCTGTTTTAATATTGTAATAAAGAACATTGCTCACCGACCATGTACCAGGCCCGGCCTTTCCGGGATGATCCACCTGCCTTCTCGCCCGAGACCTCCACAATCTCTCATCACTGCGGCACCTCCACCTCCCAGGTTCAAGCGATTCCTGTTAACCTCCAGTGCTGGGACTGAAGGTGCATAATACCTACGTCTAGGTTGCTTTGGTTTTTTTGTATTTTTGGCACTGTGCTGGATGATCCACCTACCTTCTCTTGAATCCTCACAATCTCAGCTCACTGCAACCTCCACCTCCCAGGTTCAAGCGATTCCCCTGCCTCAGCCTCCCGAGTAGCTGGGACTGAGGTGTATGCCACCACGTCTGGTTAACTTTTTGGTTTTTTGTATTTTAGTAGAGACGGGGTGTCCTCATGTTGGCCAGGATGGTCTCAATCTCCTGACCTGGAGATCCACCCACCTGGGCCTCCCAAAGTGCTGGGATTACAGGCGTGAGCCGCATGCCTGCCCACTGTTTGTTTGTGTGTTTTCTTTTTTTTTTTTTTTTTTTTTGAGACGGAGTCTTGCTCTGTCGCCCAGGCTAGAGTGCAGTGGCATGATCTCAGCCGCTGCAGCCTCCGCCTCCCAGGTTCAAGTGATTCTCCTGTCTCAGCCTACGAAGTAGCTCAGACTACAGGCACGCACCACCATGCCCAGCTAATTTTTGTATTTTTAGTAGAGACGGTTTCACCGTGTTTGCCAGGATGGTCTCATCTCGATCTCCTGACCTTGTGATTTGCCCGCCTCAGCCTCCCAAAGTGCTATGATTACAGGCATGAGCCACTGTGCCTGGCTTATACTTCTTCAGTGTTTTGTCTGTAATAAGGCATATAAGCAGAGGGTATCCTGAGACTTTTTTGTTTTTGTTTCTGTTTGTTTTGAGACAGTTCCGCTCCGTTGCCCAGGCTGGAGTGCAGCGGCATGATCTTGGCTTCCTGCAACCTTTGTCTCCCAGGCTCAAGTGATTTTTGTGCCTCGGCCACCCAAGTAGCTAGAATTAGAAGTGTGTGCCGCCATGCCCAGCTAATTTTCGTATTTTGTAGTAGAGACCGGGTTTTGCTACGTTGGCCTAGCTGGTCTTGAACTTCTGGCCTCAGATGATCCACCCACCTCAGCCTCCCAAGGTGCTGGGATTACACACATGAACCACCTTGCCCAGCCTCATCTGGGACATTTTAATACATGTATATTTTGGGTGATAATCAAATCAGGGTGCTTAGCATAACTATTCCCTCATACAGGTATTATTTCTTTGTGGTGAAACCTTTCAAAATTGTTCCCTTCTAGCTTTTTTTGAAAAATACAAAGCAATGTTCTAACCAGAGTCACGCAGCTGTGGAACGGGACTCTAGAATGTGTTCCTCCCAACTCACTGTAACTTTGTTTCCATCCCCAATCCCTCCTATTTCTCCTCCTTCCCCCAGCCTCAGGAGACCACTCCTGTTCTTTCTGCTTCCTGAAGGTTAAGTTTTTGGATTCAATGTGAGTGAGGTCATGCAGTGTTTGTCTTTCTGTGCTTGGCTTATTTAACAGAATGTTTTCTAGGTTCACTGGTGTTGCCCTAAATGAAAATTGCATTATTTTTTATGGCCGGAGAATATATCATTGTATATATGTACTACATTTTCTTCATTCCTTCATCTCCGGGTGAACAGGTAGGTGGATTCCATCTTCCTAGCTATTGTGAATAGTGATGTAATAGACATGGAAAGACAGATGTCTGTTCAAAATCCTGGTTTGTTTGACTGTATACCTAGTAGTGGGATCATATGGTATTGTACTTTCAGTTTTTTGAGGAATCTGCAACTGCTTTCCAGAGTGTATATAGCAATTGACCCTCCCATAAACACTTCTTTTTTCCTGGAAATTGACACCAGCATTTGTGTTTGTATTTTTATTTGTCATATTCATGTGAATAAGTGAAATGTTTTCTGCGTATGGTTTTGATTTCAATTTTTTGCAGGATTAGTAATGTTAACCACGTTTTCCTAAAGATAGAGTCAGTCTTATGTCTTCTTTGGCTAACAGTCTATTCAGCCTCTTTGCTCAATTTTGGATTGGTTACTTGTTTCTCTTTTGGTTAGTCTTTTTTTGCTAGTTACTAACGTTAATAGCTTGTGCCTTTTGGAAAACAATGCCTTATCAGCTGTATGTTTCCCCAAACTTTTCTTCTCACCTTTAGGATGCTGTTCTTTTTTTCTGTTTTTTCTCTTCCCCCTTCCCCTGCACCAGACTCCGATGGAGTCTTGCTCTGTTACCCAGGCCAGAGTTGCAGTGGTGCCATCTTGGCTCACTGCAAGCTCCGCCTCCTGAGTTCAAGCAATTCTCCGGCCTCAGCCTCCTGAGTAGCTGGGATTACAGGTGTGTACAACCATGCCCGGCTAATTTTTGTATTTTTACTAGAGGCAGGGTTTCACCATGTTGGCCAGGCTGGTCTCAAACTCCCGACTTCGTGAGCCCCCATGCCCGGTCTAGGATGCCTTCTCTTTGGATTCATTTGTTGTCTCCTGCACAGAGGCTCTAATGTTGTACTTAGTCTGTCATGTTTATATTTGCGTTTGTTGGTAGTGATTTCAGTGTCCCATCCAAAAAAAGAGATCGTTAAGCCATTTTATTGTCTGTGCGTATTTTCCCCGTATTTTTTCCTTTTCTTTTTCTTCTTTTTTGCAACCTGTGTGGACAGGGTCAGGTTACCCCAAAATATATGCTTATGCCATGTTTTCTCCTTGGAGTGTTTTGCTTTCCAGATTGAATTTAACTGATTTATTTTTCATAGATTTTTGTGTATGGGCGACACAGGGGTGCTATTTCAATCTTGTGCACGTGCACAGTTTTCTCAACTGTTGTGCCTTTGGTGTGCTTTTGAAAAATGTGTGCTCTAAATATAATTTTGGATTGATTACTTGGCTCCCTTATTTTGTCCATTCGGTTGTCTGTTTTTTTGTTTGTTTGTTTGTTTTTGTTTTTGTTTTTTTTGAAATGGAGTCTCACTCTGTCACCCAGGCTGGAGTGCAGTGGCGCGATCTCAGCTGACTGCCAGCTCCGCCTCCTGGGCTCACACCATTCTCCTGCCTCAGCCTCCCGAGGAACTAGGACTGCAGGTGCCCGCTACGACGCCTGACTAATTTTTTGTATTTTTAGTAGAGATGGGATTTTACTGTGTTAGCCAGGATGGTCTTAATCTCCTGATCTCGTGATTCGCCCGCCTCAGCCTCCCAAAGTGTGGGGATTACAGGCGTGAGCCACCGCTTCTGGCCCATTT